ATATATATCTGCCTGCCAGCTTACAGATACACATATGCACACACATATTCTTGCATAGTCTTTACATGAATATTTCATTAAATGTTTTATTTCAAATACAAAAACAAAGCCATGATTTTGCCAGGCTGTTTCAGCTGCGTATCTCTATTCTGGAATAGCAATGTCTCCCCAGGAATCCTTTGCACGTGTGTTCCCAGCGTAGCTGGCGCGTGTACGTTCTGCCGTGTGTCACCTCTGAAAAGCCCCGCGGCGTGTGCGGATCAGCCCACGGCTCTGGGCTGACTGGTTACGCTGTGCGTTGTCACGGGGATGCTCCTTGTGCTCTGCTCTCCCCGCAGGCAGCTCGCAGCGCCGGCACTCCTCCATGGCCAGGATCCATTCCATGACTATCGAAGCGCCCATCACCAAGGTAACGCGGCTGCTCCGGCCCTGCAGGCCGGCCCTGGGCCCTGCCGAGGCTCCGGCCTCGAGGAAGGAGGCGCCGCGCTCTGCGGCAGCTCCCTCTCCCGTGCCGTTCCGCTCCCATCCCACCCGTATTCCTGCCTTGCAGAGGGCCCTCCCCAGGGCCAGCCGTGGCCTGACGCCTTTTCAGGACCCCTGTAAGGATAGGGCTCTTCCTCTTCACTTCCGCACTGCAAGCTCTTCCTGAAACCATGGCACGGCAGGAGTCAGCTCTAATAAACTGACAGAGGAGATACAAGAAGGTAGTATTATATCCATCTGGAGGCATTCTGAGGTTCTGCCACAATCAGGACAGAAAGAAACTAATAAAATTACTGTCTTTAAGGCCATGATCCTGTTCCAAAAGTCAGTAGCAAACATCAATGCTATTAATGTCCCTTTAGAGATTTCACTTTGATTTTCGCACACATGAGTTAAAGCTGTAGATCTCATTTAGTTGCTATGGGTTTTCCATAATAGCTGATTAAAGTCCTTGTCCTTTCTTAAATCACTTCTAATCACTTCTAATTGGAAACATGTCTGTTAACCTAGGTAATAAACATCATCAATGCTGCACAAGAAAGCAGCCCTGTGCCCGTTGCAGAAGCTTTAGACCGAGTTTTGGAGATTTTAAGAACCACTGAGCTGTACTCTCCACAACTGGGGACAAAAGATGAAGATCCACATACAAGTGACCTCGTTGGAGGGTTAATGACAGTAAGTACATACTGCCACAAACAGCTTTTGCTTAATATTCCATAGTGGTCAAGTTTTCCCAGTTACTTGGTCTGTATCATCTGGCATAGATGCATCTAAATTTGCATCTAAATGCCAAATTTTCATTAAAAATTGCAGACTTATTTTTGTTTGCTTTTCTTCCATGCTATTAAAGTATCTCTGAAAATAGAAGGAAATTGGCCAGTCCACTTGAAACTTTAGTTTCACTAGAACAGGGAAGGAAAAGCACTTCTTTTTTTCAATATGATTCATTTCAGGATGATATAGATGGGAGAGGGAGAAAATAAAAAGACAACTAGATGTTTAAACATATTCATTAGTGTTAGAACGGTGTGTGTTGGTGCTTTTCAGTTTATAAAGAGACTGCATTTTCAAAAGAATGCCAAATATACTTTTCTTACTTCATTGCATGATATTAGTATTTGGAGACTAGAAAGGTCCTTTGAGCTAGGAACGTGAATGTCAAGGGAGGGGATCCTGCCCCTCTACTCAGCCCTGGTGAGGCCACATCTGGAGTATTGTGTCAGTTCTGGACCCCACAGTACAAGAGGGATGTGGAGCTGCTGGAGAGAGTCCAGCACAGGGCTACAAGGATGATCAGGGGCCTGGAACATCTGCCCTATGAGGAGAGGCTGAGGGAGCTGGGCCTGTTCAGCCTGGAGAAGAGAAGGCTGAGATGAGACCTGAGCAGTGTCTATAAGTACCTCAAGGGAGGCAGTGAGGAGGATGGTGCTGGTCTCTTTTCAGTGGTGGCTGCTGACAGAACTAGAGGAAACGGCCCCAGACTGAAGCACCAAAATTTCCACAGGAACTTAAGGAAAAATTTAACAGTGAGGGTGACAGAGCCCTGGAACAGGCTGCCCAGAGAGGTTGTGGAGTCTCCTTCTCTGGAGATCTTCAAAACCCACTTGGATGCAGTCCTGTGCCATGTGCTCTAGGTGACCCTGCGTGTGCAGGGGGGTTGGACTAGATGACCTCCAGAGGTCCCTTCCAACCTTCAGCATTCTATGATTCTACGTCCACGTATTAAAACACAATCATGCTCCACAGAACTTATTATTTAAATATACAAGACAAGAAGAAGACTGAATAAAGTGTTATTACCTTTTAAAAAAAGGAACAGAGACATTGAAAGAAAAAGTGATAGACCTGAAGCTGAACAAAGGGCATGTAGCAAAGGAAAGAACTGAACCTAAACCTTCAAAATCTGGAGCCTGGCTGTTCTGATGGTAACTAGATGAACTTGGCTGAATGTTACCTGTGCCCTAGGGATACGTGTGCCAGTCAGTAGTAGGTTGGATCTAAATGGCCAGTTCAGGAAAAGGATTTTGACAATGTGTTGGATGCAAAAGGCTCATAAGATGTCAGGGATGTCTCTGGGCTAATATCATTTCATGATGGTTCCAATACAGCATCCACATTTGCTTCTTTATTCTTTGGCCAAGAACCATTGTGAGCAAGGTAGAAGAATGCATTATGAATGCTTTTTTGATTGTTTTTCAAATAGCTTTTTTTTAAAACATAATGGGCTAATATTAATGCACAGTAACTAGCAGTGGGCACATCAAAAGAGCAAGCAGGATTTGGGCCACAGATTTTAGAGTGATGAATTGAAAGGTAAATATTAAGTGTAGCATTCTGTTAGTCTTAATTCTTAGGCTCAGTCTGCACATCCAGGCATCATGCCAAAACTGAGCCTTGGAGGCCCCAAGTTGGAGAATACACAAGCATACGTCCTTCTCGGATTGACAGGAGGCCCCAGAGTAACCTGGTAATTTGTTGCTCTGCAGTCCCAGCAACAAACCCCAGGCTCCTGCTGAGGCAGGAGAACGCAAGAGCATTTCCATCCATTCCCTCCACCTTCCACCTTGCTGATGGGAAGCGGGCAGACCTGTAGCGCCAGGATTTCGGCACACACCCAGGTCCGGGCCTGTGTTGCACAAGCAAAGGTGGACGTGAGGCCGGATTTGCAGACCTCGATTTGCACCTGAGCAATTCCAGATTGTGCCTGTCTTGTTCTTACAGATTTTCTTTTTCAATACCCTGTATTTAACTCTCACCTTTTATTGAACAGGATGGTTTACGGCGGTTATCAGGGAACGAATACTTACTGTCAGCAAAACGTAAGTTTTAATTTGGAAGTTACTAAGATGTTAAAAAGTGGTAAAAATTTAACATGGAAAGTGTGATCAGATGTTGTTCTTAGTAAACAATGTTAACTTTTAAATAAATATATTATTTACATAAATTATTTATTCATAAGTATTGTTCTACAGCATTACTGCCAGGCATCATTACAGAAAAGAAAACACGTACATTTAGTGTACCTTGGGATTATTAATAGGGATCTGCAAATGTATTCCCCAACAGAATCTCATCAGGTTCCTAGCAGTTTGATCTCTCCAATCTCCCTCCATGACATACCCCCCCGGATAACACAGGCAATGGAAAATGAAGAACACTGGGATTTTGATATCTTTGAACTTGAGGCTGCCACCCATAAAAGGTCAGTAAACTGGAAGGCTCATGAAGTTGCTGCAAATTGACTTAAATGTCATCCTGTAATCGGCTCTTCAATTCTCTACCCCTGTTTTTCAATTTACTTTTAATTTCAAAGGAACTTGTCTGAAATTCTCTGTCATCTCTTTGTTCTCATTTCTTTTTATGCAAGAACCAATTAAATACCTTCTGTTTCATAACACACTACTTGCTGCTATTTCCAGTAGATGCCAGGGAACACTAGATATCTTTGATAAAGTATAATAACAAAGCCACACCATTTTAAACGCCTTATTTTTCTGTTCTTTATAATCGAAAACTTATCAAACCTGTGGGGATCTAAGTTCAAATTATGTCCAACTTTGCACAGTCACCATGTTGTTATTAATTCGATCACTTTTGCAGATTATGCTTTACTTTCTCTCCATTTCTCTCTCTTACTTTCTCTCTTACTTTCTCTCTTTTACTCTTAAATCTTCATATATGGCTTTTTGGCAGAATTCTCATTGCTGCCTTCTGGGATTGGAGGAAGGTCTGTATTCTAAATCTTAGAAGGCTACATTTTATGTATAAGATTACATCTGAAGGAATATTTATGGTTTTAAAGTACAGTGTACCAAAAACTGAGTCTAAGCAAGGTATCAAGGCATTTAATTTGCACGTATTCACTTCTACTTTAGATCTCAGTTTTATGAACCAAGTTGGAGACATTCAGGTTTTTGTTCTTCCTTATAGTGATGTAATTTTAGATGTTATTGTAAGTGAAGAGATGTACATTTAATCACTTTATTTTTTTCCTTTGCTACATTCTCATTGCCAATGGAGTGAGTGCTATAGATAGTTACTCTTTGAAAACAACAACAAAAAAAAAACCCAAAAAAACAGTATTTGTAGCATTTAATACTCAGATTGCAATAACTTAAGAATTGATTATCTCAGTCAACATGCATGAGATGACCAGACAGGTTTCTCTGTTCTTATTGATTTGGAGAGACAACAGAGGGACAAAAAAGTATTTTGTCACCTATCTTATTAAAAGTATTATAATTAATACCTTTTAATTGCCTAAAATCCTGCTTTGGTTGCAAGATTGCTTCCTGCTGTGTTTAAATAAAGGCAATTCATTTACTAAAGGAATTAAGGTGATCTTGCATGAATCACCACTATGAATATGTTCTTAGCAATTACTTTTCATCCATGTAGACATAGACGTAGGGGAGTCAGGCCAAGATAATTCATTAAATCTAAGCCCAGGGCAGTAGATGTGACCGTTCCCTGACACAGAAACCTGGGGACCCTTTGCGTGGTCGTGCTGGGTGGCTCTAACCCCATCCAGCGAATCTGGGTGGGAGCAGGAAGCGCCTCGGTCCCCGCGGGGAACGGGAGCCGGGAACGGCCGGAGGCGGCTCTGCGCGCGGAGGGGCCGCGGCGGCGGCCAGCGCGGACACGCGCCCGTGGGCTGCGCGCGAGCCGGGCCGGCCCGGGACAGCCGGGCAGGTCAGCGCCTCCGCTCATACACAGAGCTCAGCCCGTGATAATTTATCCCCACTGCCGTCTGCCCGGCTCCCCGCGTGCTGCTGCGGGTGCTACAGCAGCATATGGAGCCTGGTGAGTATTCCTGGAAGTAGCAGGAGCCGGCAGGTGCTGACTATGAGCAGGTTGTAGTTAGCTAAAAGTTTTTGGTGGATTTGGACTATAATTCTGTAGCAATTAAATGCTTATACCCAATCCGACATGCTGTTAAAAATGCCGTATAGATCCATACTATTTACGGTGTCTAATATTCTTTCAACCTCCATTGTTTTAAATATTTGTGTTTATTTTTCTCTGCAGACCTTTGGTTTATCTGGGTCTCAAAATATTTGCTCGCTTTGGAATCTGTGAATTCCTAAACTGTCCAGAATCAACTCTGAGGTCGTGGTTACAACTTATTGAAGCTAACTACCATTCCTCCAACTCCTACCATAATTCTACGCATTCTGCCGATGTGCTACATGCCACTGCTTATTTCTTGTCTAAAGAAAGAGTAAAGGTGAGTCCATATTTCTATGAAACACACTGGGTTGGAAGTACAGGTGGGGGTGGGATGTCTTGGGAAAGATGCCAAGGACGTACCTAGTGCCAACCACTGTAGCAAATGTGAGATCAATGACAGATACTGACTGGTACTATTGGGATTGAGCTAAGGGAGAATCAAAGTTTCCTTTTAAAAATAAATAAATTTTAACAAATAATTCGAAAGAAAAACAGAGATCTTTCTGGCATAGATGATCTTAGTGAGATGGAGCAACTAATCACACAGTTATTTTGTGAGCTTCCCCTCAGACTTGGACAAATAAATGGCCATGTCTTCCACTCTGTGATGGTGGTTTTGCATAATACTGCCAGGACTGTGTGGGCCATAGCGAAGATTTGGTGCTCCCAAAGCTGTCACCCAGCGGAGGGGATGCTTAAAGAGGAGAAGGGCTGGAGGAGAGCATTAAACAGATGATTTGTTGAGGTTACTTGTACCACAGTGCTCCTTGGTTCGTTAGAGCCACTGACAACCAGAACAAATTGGAGCAACCTTTGTTCTCACGCTCCCAGAGGGCAGACTGCGCTGTGAGAAGGGGAATTAAAACAGTGCTCGCATGTGTCTGTAGTAGAGTGGCAGTATTTATTTCTGCCTGGCATTTCTGGATACAAATTCCTGCCCTGATTTGGCCTGTCGAAGGATAGGGTTTGTGATGGGCACCTGGCTGAGACATTTGTGACTGTAAACAAGCTTCTGACAGCTCATTAAAAGTGTAGTAAGTCCCTTAACCCGGAGCTGCAGCTCATTAGTGTGTTCTCCAGTGGCTGATGCGCAGATATTATATGCCAAGTGGGAGAGGAACTTCACTGGGTATTTTCAGTCCTATGTTTGCTAGAGGCTTAGCTGGTCTTCCCAAGAGTATCAATGAAAAACAGACAAGATCTGGAATCATTTCAATGCCACAGAAGCACGATTGCCTCCTCCCTCCCAGAATATTATTTCCATTCCTCTGTAGGCAAAGGAAAATAAAGAGTTGCAACAGAGGAAGGAGCAAAATCAAAGTTCAAGATTCTCTCTCTGCCTTCTCAATGTTTCTGCCCAGGTGCTTCTGTTGTCCACAGTTCAACTTAACCTAAATACATGAGGGCAGATTCTGCACCCAGGTTTACAATGAGAAATTTTCAGTAAACTGAACTCAGTTCTTTTCTGGGAAAGTTTCTTGCCCTGAAAGTGAAGCAATGTTCTCAGAAGCATTTCTACTCCTGTGCTGTAGGACTTAAGCTGACAAAGTTAAAATACTTAACCTGAAGTTGGAGGAAAAGGAAATGTAAATCCCTTCAATGTTTGCAATGTCACACTCAGGAAATGAGCCTGGGACGCATTGCTGTGATCCAACAGGTCAGATAGTCTCCAGCTTCTGGTCACTTCCCATCGGCACGGGGCTTTCTCAGGCAGGCTGCAGACTGCTGCTCCAAGTGGGTTTGCTCCCCTGCAGGAAGACAAGAGCTGTCAGGATGACATGATCATACCCAGCCCTGGGCACTCGTTCTTAGTCCTGACTACCTGGTTGTTAAAGGCAGCCACACACCCTTGGAGAAGGAGGATACACGTAGCCTGAGGGCCTCCTACCATGGATCCAGGAAGATGCAAGTGAGGCTTTCTGTTTGCACTGGCAGCACATGCCGATTCATTCATATGAGACATTTATAATGGAGTTTCACATATTACAGCTAATATTTCAAAATTTGTTTTTATTTTGACGCCACCAGCACTGCAGTGTTAGTCAAGCCTTTAAAGCAATATCTGTTTAACAAAAGCAGCACTTACAAGCCTGCGCTCCAGATTTGTTGTACTCTGGGCATGTAGCTGTCAACAGAACCATGACTAACTCAGCACAGGTTTCTTCAGGAAGATTCATTCTCTGTTGGGTATTCAGGGTGTTGTACAGGAGTATATAAGACTATGCACTATTCTAGCAGCTAATGTTTAAGGCCAAATCCTGGCATTTCTGTTGGTGTTGCTCCCTGAGAAGAGAAGGTAGCAGCAGGCACAGCGGGATTGGAGCAAGCAGCAGGACCTTCCCCCAGCTCCCCTGCTGCCTCGGCTGCCGTCCGGGCGGGCAGCGCGGGGGTCACTGTGCTGCATCCCGCCTCCCCGGAGCGCGGACAGCCGCGCCGGGCCCGGGGGAAGGGGAGCCCTTCCCAGGGACGACGGGGCAGCTCCTGCAGCGCGGGGCCAGCAAAACCCCCTGCTGCGGCTGCTGCTGCTGCTGCTGCTGGAAGGGAACCGAATGAGCCAGCGTAGTAACCGAGAAACCTCCCAGGTTATACAGCAGCTTTCTGAGAGGCTGGATGCCTTTTCTCCTTTGTGCTTTTAATGCTGTACTAAAACTTACAGTATAAAAACTTAAAAGACAATTCTATATTTCATTATAGTATAAGTAGACATAAGGCAATGACAAATATACTAGACATAGAGTACAGCATGCTAGAAGAGTTAGAATCTGATATAGAAAGAACAGAAGAGAACAGAATGTCATGTAATTTTTCTGTGGATATAAACTATCAAGAATTCTTCATAGAACTCATACTAGCAGTGACTCCTGGACACTATTATTATAGAACTGGATATATGTGAAATATTCTTTACAAATCACAAACCCAGCCAAACATGGAAGTGAAATGTGATTAAAACACATTAAGTTTCCAGAAGAAATGAAGATGTCTGATGGAAACAGAATAATTTTTAGCAGTATTGGTCCTTATTCCAAGCCAAATACCCTAATTTTGAAGGTGGTTTATTGTGCTTATAAAAAACGTAAGGCAGGCTGGTATTTTCTACTTGTTTAATATGATGCACTTTGTCAAAGGCGTGATGAAGGCACAATTCAATGGGCACAAAATGGCCAAAAATGTCATGCAATGTTCAGCGAAGCTCATAATGATTTTTCCATTGCTCTGTCTAGAACATCTGACCCTCAATGATCTCCAGAATTCTGGCTTTCGTCCCTCAGGAACTTGGCTTAACCTTTATGGACAGAGTAGGGTTTCAAAAGAGTCTGCCAGGAAAACTAAGCATCCTTCTATTTTCAGCAAACTTTGGATCCAATTGACGAGGTCGCTGCTCTCATCGCTGCCACAGTCCATGACGTGGATCACCCAGGAAGAACAAATTCCTTCCTGTGCAATGCTGGCAGCGAGCTAGCAATTCTCTACAACGACACCGCGGTGCTGGAGAGCCATCACGCCGCCCTGGCTTTCCAGCTCACCACACGGGAGGACAAATGCAATATATTTAAAAACATGGAAAGGTAAGCTCAAAACCCGTGTGCTTGTCCACCCCCTAACACTTCCCACTTTGTTCTGTGTAACACAAGCATCCTGGAGGAGGGCAGTGCCTTGTGGACAACTGTATATAGCCTTTGCAGAAATTTTTGCTTCTAAGAGTACAGAGTCCTCCTGTAGCTTAGGTTTCTCCTGTGGATGGAAAGACAGACCTTGCCTAAGGAACTGACCATGTGATTCTCGGGTTAGCAAGTCTAGGGGAATAATTTTGTATCATGACCCAGAGGACAAGCTGTGGCTGATGGACAGGTGTTTGCTGAGTAGGATGGAAAACTGGGGGAGCGTCACTAAAAAATTAAAAGCTTAATTGCAATGGATAATGTAAGGACCTGTTGCTCGCCTTCCAGCTCTGGAAAGGCATTTTAGCAGGAGGATGTGACCATTGCCTTGGCATTCTCAACACAGCAGAAAAGCATTACTGAAACCTTGGCTGGAGCGTGAGCCGCTGCTTCAGTGTCTGTGCTGGATGCTTGGGAACGTGCCCGTGTGACAGTCCTGGCAGCCCTGCTGCGCAGCTGGTGCCTCTGCTGCTGCCCAGCTCTCGCACTGTCTCTGCTCAAGATCCAGGGACGCCTCCAGCACACACATCCCCGCACACCGGCGGGTACCCTAGCCAGCAGGGATGCAGCTTCCCCTGCATTTTTTGCTGTTACTTCTTTCCTCAGCACCTCTCTGCAACAAAATGGTCTATAGTATTTTTGTTAGACTCCTTCAGCAAGTGACCCTTTGTGAACCAGCAAGCATTCTTACTGGTTTCCTTCTTTATGCAGGAATGAGTATCGAACCCTTCGCCAAGCCATTATTGACATGGTCTTAGCAACAGAAATGACGAAGCACTTTGAGCATGTCAACAAGTTTGTCAACAGCATTAATAAACCCTTGGCAGCGCTAGAAGAAAATGGGGTAAGCAACGCTGCACGTCTTCTCTAAATGACGAGGGATGGCCTGGGAACCCTTGGCAATAGGAAATTGCTATGTAGTATTCCAAGAAAGTTCCTTAGAAACATGGAGAGGGATTAGAAATGTCTTTAACCTCCAGGTTTGAATGCCCTTCTGCTTAACATGGTCATCACACAATTGAAGATGAGTGGGAGACACTTGGATCCTAATAATGTTGCAGTGCTGTGATTTTTTATGAGAACCAGGCATGTACTTGGGGCCAGAAGCTTGGCATGTGTTTTCCTGCTAAAAATGCCATGGATCCTGTAATAACCAAATCACTGCTGGTGGCGTAGCCCCGGGTTGGGATACTGAGTGCCAGATGACACTCTGGAAGTGAGAGTGTGGGGACCTCGGCTTTCAGCACTGCCTGCAGCAGCCATGCGTTTTCTGTCTGCTTTCTCTGTTAATCTTTAAAATAGATGATGGTGACATTAGGTATCATATAGACATAATCAATAGCCATCTGGAACTCCATGGACACAACGAAATTGCCTGTTAGGAGCTCATTCTGAAAAACCACACCAGCTTCAATAACAGCTTCAACCAGCAGTTTTGTTGCCAGTAAGAGCAGTGTATAATTTTGTTGGAATGGTTTTTACAAATAAGATTTTCAACCAAGTTTGCATTGGTGGCGACATCCTGTAGGAGCTGTAATGGTTTTCTGTGTTTACTTACCGTGTTTTCAGAAAGCCACATATTTGAATGCTGGGTGTAACGGGGGAGAGCAGCTTTTCTGTCGTCAGAGGGTAGCAGAGGCAGAGATCTCATTCCTCACCCCTCAGAAGCAGACTGGAGCTACATGGAGAATATCTCTGTCCATAGGAACATATGCTAGAATTAGCCTTGTTCTTGGCACCCAGTGATGCTATTGGGAAGTATGTGAATATGAAGCCAAAGTCCCAGTAGGATACTGTTTTACTGACTAAACTAGGAGAAAGGCTAAGTCTGCGGCTCTGAAGTAATTTTCCCAGACAGCCTCACGTCGCAGAACGTGGCTTAAAGTCACAGAGAGAGTAACACTAATTCCTACGGGTGTTGCATTGGATCTTATATAATGATGAAGTTCTCTGCCCAGGACACATCTCCCCCTTTTAACGAGTGCCTGTCCACTGCTGCCAGAACCTGGAGAAGACAACAACTAGTTTCAGTATCCATGATTCTTGGATGGATTGTTTATAAGTTAGATGTTACCACAGGTGGTCTCCTACCTATTGCCAAAGGCTGGTCAGAAACATGTTCTAACTGTAAAGTCGTCTTCAAAGCTTAGTAAATGACAGAGCAAACACCATCTCCTCAACGTACAGGCTCCATTCATACATGCATGTAACGATGCAGTCAGATATAAGTATCATCAGATTCTGGTTTTCACAGGCACTTCTGTGCTTTCAGAGCCTCTTCTCTGCCAGTCTCCCCCGCCACGCTACTCCTTGGCTTCCCACCGGCTCCATCTCTTCCCCCTCCTCTTCCAGCCTTCCTCTCCTCGCCCCATTCTGCTTGCTTGCCAGGCTGCTCCATCTCCTTCACCATTCCCAGGCTCTTTGAGCCACTCTCCTACTTCTCATTTCCTTTTTTGCATTCAAATCAGACAACAACCTCCTCTTCCATGCTGCTGCCGTCAGGCGGCCCTGACGGGCTCCCTGTTCTTAGTTACAAAACCCAGGCCTGGCTAATGCCTGTTCCAGCACAGCCAAGAGCAGCTCCAGGGAGAGCCCTGCGCAGACGCAGGCTCCAGCAGTCCCTCCCCAGGCTGCACAAACCACACGTTTCTTTTTCCAAAGCTTGAAACTCATCCAGCAGATTTGCACAGGGCTGATTGCCTGACCCCAAAACTATACGTGCAACTAAATTCCAACTCCTCACTCATAAAGGTGTGCAGGTGCTAGAAAAGAAAGAAGCAGCAATGTTTTTTGTTATCAGCACGACCTGCTTATTTCCTCTAACCTTATATTTAGACGGCACAAAAACATTTTTAACTGCAATTTTCACAGGAAAAAAAAAATCTTTGCCTGAGGCAGAGACCTGGTGGGGAAACTTCAACCAAACAATTGAAATTGTCAGTTAGGAACAGTATTAAACAAGATCTTTTAATATGAAGTATCAGCCTCCGGGACAGCCTACAACCATAGCTGTAGATGATTAGACTTTTTCATTCAGATTTATGCTTTTTTTCAAAACATATATTTGTATTAGTTTATGATTATGGAGTGATTTTATTTCCTAGAACCAGATTTTGCTTGCGAATAATAATAATAATTAGACTTACTTGAATGCCTGATGGACATTTTTGTTTCAGAAGATTATAATAGAAACATGAGGCTGGCAAAATGGATAGAAAATTGTGAGGGTAAACACTTCTGCTCAATTTCTTGAATGCAATAGTCAAGAAAAGGGCAAGCGGGAGCGATTCCTGGGAGCCCTGATGGTGCTGCGGGGCCGGGCAGAGGCTCTGTCCCTGCTCTGCGCTCCGGGCGAGGGAGCTGTGTGAGGGCAGCTGCTTTGCCCCGCGTGGGCTGGTGCCCGGGCACGCTGAAGGGCTGTCCAGCTAGGAAAGAAAGGGGTGGGAGGGAGGGAAGCCTCTCTGCTGGAGGAAGAAAGGAGAATGAGAAATGGGCACGTCTGACAGAAGCAAGGAGGAAACGATGGATGTCGCGAGGAGAAAGGAGGACTAAGAGGAGCTGCAGAACCTGAGGACGGCGGGTGCAGCACAGAGTCCCAGCGAGGAGGGCAGTGCTGAACTCCAAGGGTGCATCTAGCCAAGCGGCCAAGGCAGGAATCAGGAGACTGCAGCAGTCCTGAAAAATGGCTAGGAACAACGGTTAGGTCTTCATGCAGATCAGGAAGGAAAATGTTTTCCTTCTCTTAGCAATGAGTTTCCCAGTTCAGCAGGTTCCTACTAAAAGGCCCGTGATGCTTGAGGGGCTCAAAGCCACCATCTGCGGTGCGCGTTGCTCGCAGGACGACGCTGGCAGATCCTCTCCCGAGCCCGGCCGTGTGTCTGGCTGCAGCGGCAAAGTGTTTCCTGGCCTCGTTTCCAGGCATGGCTGTGACTCAGTGTGATGTTTGCAGGCTGCGCTGCCAACCGTGTGTTCCAAATGGGACAGCTCCGCTTATTTTTTTGTATTTATTATTTTTATACATATTTTTTCGAAGAGCCATGCTGAGAAGCTGCTGTTTGTTTCCTTTCTTCTTTTGTTTCATAAACTGAAAAAAATCCATTCCAGCTCCAGCATCCTTTATCCTCCCATTTCCCTTCATGATGTCACCTCAGCCTCGACAGGAAGCCAACATCTGACATGCAGAGACACCTCTGCACTCTGAGCAGGATGCCAGGACTCAGCACAGTTAGCACATTTTATTCCCAAGACATCCGCATCCAGCAAGCAGGACTGCGCTCTTGGTTTGAATGGATCCCGGAAGTAAACATCCTTTCTTGATTCCTGGTGATTTACCTAGTAGGATGTTATCTGCCCTCCTTAGCCGAGTGATCGCTAATCAGCTTCTTTTGTGCAACTGGGGATATATTCAGCTTTCCTTTGCATTTTCCCTGCTGTATAATTAAAAATGGGGGAAGAACTGGTTCCATAGGCTCATTTTGGTGGAAACTGTTGAGCTGTTGTTTCTGAGCCAGGAAACCACCACCTAATAATTTTTAGATTAATAAATATTCAGTTTCTTCCTTCAGAAGAGAACTTTCTTCCACATAATGAAAAGCGTGTCCAAATGAAAGATCAGGCTTTCCGCTTCTTTGTAGAGGCTCACTAGTATCTACCTCTAGATACAAAGTACCGCAGGAACTGCTGGCATTATTATTATTACTACTGTTATTCCTAGTACTTCTTTTGCTGCATCAAATACAGAGCCAGGCCTTGGTAGGTATATTCCTGTAGTATATTCCTTGCATCAGAGAGTTTCTAATGCAGGTAGAGAATAAGAGACTATGTAATAAATCTGTCTGCATCCATCCAGGTAAAGATTCAAGTAATAATGAGGTCCCTATGAGTGAGTTTTTTTTAGGCTTTTTTAATCACAGATCCTTCTCTTTGGAAACTTTTCATCAGAGCTCTGTAAAAAAACAGCTTCTGCCCTGGATCCCCGGAGCCTTCCCTTGCGTTAGCTCCCAGTACAGTTCACACGGCAGCAAGTGCAGCCTGGAACCCAGCACAGGCCACGTGTGGGCTGAAACCTTTCCTAGCAAGACGCGGCTGCCCGGGGGCATGTTCGGAACGTCCCTCAGCAGGGATGAGCTCCCAGGAAGCGCAGTTCCCGCTCGGGGCAGACTGCGGCTCCGGGGCCGGGAAGGAGGCGCAGGCCGGGGCAGCGTGGAGCCCGCCTGCTGCCGGCGTGATCCATGTTATGCTGAGCAGGTTTGAGCGCAGAGGGTGACCGTGCGTCCTGGGGCACTCCACTTTTCTTAGCAGATACTCCACTTTTAATATAAAAGCCCATTAATCTCAGATTTCAGCCTTCACAGTACTCATCACTATGTGCTCGGGGATGAACACCTCCTCAACATGCTCTTAAGGAGGCGAATAAGGCACAGAGGGATTAGGTGACTTGCCCAAAGATGTGCAAGAGATCTGTCACAAAGACAGTGAACGAATCCAGAAACTAGAGAGGTCAGTGCTAGTTCAGAGCTGTAGCTAAGCTCTGTATTTCCCTGTAAGTTCAGCTCTAAATTCTTGTCATTGAGGCAGGCCTTGTTCCTTTGCAGAAACATTCCCAAAGCACAAAGCTTTTGAGTAAGCGTGTAGAGATCTTGCTGATGGATTGTTTTTAATTCTGTTGAATGTTACAGAATAACGGTGATGGAGACTCAGTCAAAAACGTTCTCACATCTCCCGAAAACCGCATCCTCATCAAACGTATGTTGATAAAGTGTGCGGACATTTCCAATCCCTGCAGACCCTTACAGCAGTGCATCGAGTGGGCTGGACGCATCTCTGAGGAGTACTTTGCACAGGTAAGGTACCTACAAAGGGCTGCTTAAATTCCAGGCGAGCATTTCCTTAAAAGGCAAGAGAAGGCTGCTTATATACTGTCAGCCTCTGTCTACGTCTCAGAAAATTTAAAGCTGTGTTACACCATGTAAAAATAGGATTTAATTTTTTTCATGTTGGGCTATTACTCATGCCATTGCAGGACTAGATGCCTTCACACAAAAGGAAACTTGACGGCTTCTACAGTGCAGTTTTTGAAAAACTTAAGCTTTCAGTTTGGCCCTTAGCCAAGCACGTTGCCATCACGAGACGCAGGGCAGGGGGCTGCCCGCGTCCCCACGTCCTGGTGCTGCCTGCAGAAGAGCATCCCCAGCTGCCAGCTGGGAACAGCGCTGGCTCCCGGCCCTGCTGCAAGTCTCCCAGCAGACTGCATGGAAGGAGGGCCTGAAGAGCCGGAGGGAAGGCCAGGGCAGGGTCTTCCTCACAGATGATGGACCAAATACTGAATTTGGGCCTTTGTACCTCCAAGTGGGAAAGGAGGATTAAAAAAAATATATATATATATTTCACCCCCTCTAGTATGCACAAAATGCCACTGCTGTTGGAGATTGAGTGGTGGAGCATCTTTGAGCTCCAAAGCAGCCATAAATTAAATCAGTAACTTGTCAAGTACCTCAGGACCAATTGTGTGTACATGCAGAAAATAACTGCCTCGCTTTGTGGGAAACACGGGAAGGTTCAGTGCTATCTGCTGTTTGGCTGAAACCTGCACTATTAGGTACTTAGGATTTACTTGTTTGTTCTTCAGATTTATTCTCATTCCTCTGTTTGTTTAGCAGTTGCACACCTTGGTCAGTGCCAAAAAATCTGTTGCTTAAAAGCAGCTGAGTAAGGGAATGCATCTCAGATGAATAACCCCATGACTGTTCTTTGCAGACTGATGAAGAAAAGAGGCAAGGCTTACCTGTCGTGATGCCAGTTTTTGACAGAAATACTTGTAGCATCCCCAAATCCCAAATATCATTTATTGATTACTTCATCACCGATATGTTTGATGCCTGGGATGGTAAGCAAAGATGTTTCCTATCAATAAGTATTTTGCAAGCATTTGAAACTACCGTGATATGAAATTGTTCTCTTATGACTCCTAAAAGAACAGGTGAATAAAGTGGAAAATTTCTGCAGTTTAAGTACATCTAATAGCCTCATTATAGCATTATAATAGTGTTAAAATAGAAGTATTTTGATATTGCTATGAACGATTCCCAGGGCTTCTCTTCTAAATGAGTTTCAGGCAATGTTTTAACTTTTTTTTTAAGCTGGCTTCTCTCTAATTGGAGAACAGACCACATTTGCTTTGATACCACACTGCACATAGTCGTTTTGTCCATGTTAACATGGGTTATTCTGCAAAACAAATTTCTACAGTCTGGAAACTGCTTGGGGGAGCAGCTATTTCCTCCCGAGCGCTGCCTCTGTGGTAAAAGTGGTCAGAAATGTGACTCCCCTGAATGCTGGATCGTGACATGTGACGGAGATTGGATGAAATAGAATCATTACAAGCATAATTAGTTATGCCTCTCCTGGAAAACTGGGTCCCTTTGCTAGTATTGCAATACCAGTATTAAGTAGACTCAGAGAACTGGCTCCATAGCCTGGGAAGATGCATGACTGATGAGAGCTATAAAGCCAGAACCATTTTCAACTATCAGGATGTCAGACTCGAGTGTTCCTACTTAGCACAGTTGCCCAGACATTTCAAGTGATATTTCAGCAGGCAGAATCATATGACTGTTTCAGTTCTGCAAACTAAATACGCTTTGCCCTTTCTTCCCTAGCATTTGCAGACCTGCCAAATTTGATGCAGCATCTGGATAATAACTTTAAATACTGGAAAGGACTAGATGAAAGGAAGCTGCGGAGCCTTCGACCACCACCAGAATAGCAATTAGGCCATGGTGTGTAATTTACTAACCCGATGCATATTTATTCAAGCTCACTTCTGTTCATGTGATTTCAGATTTGTTTTGGTCTCTTCAGTATTACAGTAAGGCTAGAGCCTATGCACAGGGGGAGCTTTCAAATTTGAGCGAACACGAGGTCAGCAGTTGACTCCCCCAGACGACGTGTGTGGACTCCACCAAAACTGACCTGTCAAGTGGAATTACACTGGATGCTGCAGTACTTGTACTGAAGAGGGTCTGTTAGTGAACATATTTTTGCATTCTCTCTGTACCAGTATGTGAAGCTGGAAGACCTTGAAGAATCCTCATAAGAAGGACATTCATTAGAAGATTTTGCTTAATCCTCAATTCTGCAAGAGAAATAAAGAAATATCTATTAATAGTGACTCACAGCTTTTATTGGAAAGCTACATGCTTTTTATAAGCACTTAAGACAGTTACGTAGAACAATCAGACATTGAAAATGCAAGTCTCCATGAAGGAATTTTTGATCTATGAAAAATAGATGTACTCTATTTTTTCACATCACAGAAGGTGCAATCATTCACTTCTGAGCACTACTGAAAGTGAGTTCTCTTTAAGAAATTTAGTAGCAAATGTAAAAAATAACACAAGATTTTTTGAGGTTGATCGTTAGCATCTATGATTAAAATGTTTTATTTATTTTGTTAGATGTTCAATATTTTCTATGAATTTATAAATACTTAAAAGCCAAAGCCAACTTTAGATGCATTACAAATTTACATGATTCATACTCATTAATATACATTTAATTGATGTACAGACCTTTTATTTTCATAATGCAAATACAAAATACTATACAATGATACATTTTTATTGCACTGTAAGGATAGATGTGTATGTTTAAATATTGTCTGATTTATGTTAATTAAAATAAGTTTTATTGAAAAGGTCTCATTTGAGAATAGTAAAATAAACAAGAAATGTATACTGTCTGAGCACCAGAAGGGCAGTAATTCTCTCACAAACCAGTGGTGACCACCTGATCTTCCCTTGGCTAAAAAGAAATTGTCAGATTTTTTTGTTTTCCCCCATGAAATTTTATGATTAAAATCCCTGTCAAAGTCTGCCTTATTTTATATAGTATTTCTACAAAGCATTCCACAGCATATATGAAGAGGTAATACTAAACATCTAATAAATTTCAACATTTTATAGCCTGTGTACTTTCCTCTGCCGTGACAGAAACTGAACATAGAAACAACAAAATCCTTTAACTCCAGAAGTTTGTAAAGGCTGTGTACCTTCACAATTTGAATGAAACCTTCATAGCAAGCACCAGAAAACAATAAAATGTATATTTTAAGAAGTGTCCAAGTCCTAGCCATTTCATTTGAAATGTGTGTTTATTTTGTAGCGAAGTGCATGTTTATTTTGTAGCTTGCGGCGTGTCCGTCAGATTCCTGACGCTCTCTGTACAATCCCAGCTCGCTGGCAGTCGGAGCAGCAGGAACCTGTCTGGGCCCACAAGGAATCGCTGCAGCAGTTCTGGGGCAATGGCCCGAGAAGGGACTTTTTGAACCGTTCGTGAGGAAAGAAGCACGAGTGGCTCCTGCAGCAGCACAGCCAAGGGCTGCAGCAGCAGAAGCCCCAGAGCAGGTAAGGAAGGAGCGCGCGGTCTCGCAGCTGCCACCTGCCTCTGCTTCTCCCTCACCTCCAGCCGATGAGCCCCAGGCCACCACCGTTATCAGCTCAGCGCTGCACAGGTACCACTGCCTGGGTGTTCTCCCTTCCCTTCCTACCTGGTATCGGGTGTGTGCACTGTGAGGGCACGGAATTCCCTTAGTTCCTCTCTGCTTGGTTACTGCCCAGCCCGCGGGGCGCAGAGGCTGTCTCGCAGCACCTGGGCTCGGGCATTAGCTCAGCTGTGGCAATGGGATCCCCATGTGCATCTTCCAGGAGCTCCACAGGCTTTACAAATGGGATGGATATATCCCCAGGCCAGATTAAAGAACCAGGTATCCCCTTTCCAAGGAGGGGAAGGATGTGAGGAGAGGGGGAGAGAGAAGGCTGCCAGATGGTTTGCTTTCCTGGCAGTGACACACAATGTTTCCATACACGTGCATCCATTGTGCTCAACTGTAATTTACCACCTGGTCTTAATCTCCCCCATTGCACGCAGGTTCCTGTGCTTTATTCGGGGAAAAGCTACTCAGGTTTCATGAGGGAAAGCTAATTACGCTGTTCCTGCTCTAATATCTCTACTGTCTGTTGCAAGGAGGAGAGGAGAGGAAAAAGTAATAGCATGTGAGTCCAGAGAATATCTGCAGGAAGGGAGTAGAAGTATTTCTTCCTGAGTGTAGTTAATGCACTTGGTTGTAGTAACGAATAGTAAAAGCAGTTCATTTAATCTGCTATAAAAAACAAGCAGTGCATCATCATTGAAAAGAGGTCATCACTATGATTAATTCCCTGAGATTCATACTGCATCTTTAATGCCATTACTTGGAGCGCAGTGCTGTACTAATCAGCCTACTGTATCAGCCAGATCCATGTCTACACTGCTGTAAAATAACTTAACATCAAAAGCTAGTTTGCAGCCACTGAACGCAGCCCTGCCTGTTCTGTTGTCCCTCTGAATTTTGCTAGGGACAGACTACGATTAAAGGAAACCTGGAACTACCCTGTGTGACCCTCACCCAAGCCGTTTTCCAGCCACGTTCTCTACAAATCCTCTTTCTCTTGCTTCTCAGTCCGACAGCTCTGTGCTGTGCAGGGGACTCGCTTTTCCTCCTACCTATGAACTGCCTCTCTGCTCTCGCAGCCACCTCTCCACATACCGCACACTTCCTGCAGCCTTCTCCATTTTGCTCATGGGACGTAGGGAAAATCCCAGAATTAGACTGCACGTTTGGGGGCCTTTTAATGGAGGAGGATGTGTTCAACAAGATTCGATGGTATCATGATCTCTTGGAAGGCTAGAAAATTTGATGCCTAACCTATATGTTGGGATTTGTGCTAAACATAGCGCAGAGTTGAGCTATACAGCTCTGCAGTGCTATTTCCAATCCCATCCCAACCACCTCCCACCTTTCCTGTTCGGTTTCCTCTCCCTGCCTGCAGCTGAGCGGGCAGCCAGGCCACGCGCTGCGCAAAAGGGCATCGAAAAGGGTGGATTCCCTCCAATTGTTTTTGCTTCTGACAACAGGTTTGTAAAAATAAGGCTAAAAATACTGTTCAGTGAGCTATGGACTGGCAGAAGACATAGGCTTTTTTTTTGTTGTTAGGATTAGGAGGCCAAAAGGGGTTAAAAGGTGACCGGGAGTAGCTCCTTTTAAAATTTTTAGTTTTTAAAATACATGAGGTAATTTTATCCTCTTTTAGTCCCTGGTTTCCTTGTGCAGAATTTCACTTTCCTATATCTGCAGTTTAACCTACCCTAACACTTGAAACTTTTTATAAAGATTAAAAAATAAATAAATCTAGATATTTCTCTCATTTCATTCCACTCTACTTAAATAACCTGGTCTTAGGAATAGTTACTACCCCCTACCTGATAGCCCGTTGCATTACTGTCATGATAGTGCTTAGACAAAAATAAGCCACTCAGGAGTTGCACTTCGTGTGTGTGTGTGTGGTGATGGAGTCACTGAATGACTCCAGAACAGTGTGTGGAAAAAACTGTGTGCGAACACTTTCGTGGTGAGCAAACACAGCCGCAGCCTCCTGTGCAGCAGAAAGGTGCACGAGCTGCGTGGTGGGGAGAGCCCAGGCTCCTGGCCAAGGACTGGAAGGTTTTCTTGCTGTGAAACAGTAAATGCTCTGATCTGACATTCCAGGATTCCTCCAGGATCGAGGTGTCCCTGGATCCCACTGCAAATTCCTTCAACCGTTCCAGCTCCTTTTTATTCCTTCTCCAGAACAATACATCAAATGCTCTGTGCTCTGAACAAGGGTCTAGTTTAGTGGAGTTCAGTCTCTTTGCTCTTGTTTTCTGAACAGTCTGCTAGGGACAGAAACAGTGCTCTGCTCTAGTAGGAAAGGCCCTTCACGGCAGGAGGGAGAACATGGGATAAACTGAGTGTGCCTGAAATATTCCCAGCTTCTGACAGGCTGGCAGCTTTATGTAGTGCCTATCCTTTCTACTCCTGGTTTAACACCGTTAACAAGTGTTAATTCCAACGCAGCCAGGATAGTGGAGGGTTCTTTTTGCCTCTGGGGTTTTAATCTTAAAGCTTTGTGTTTTGTAAATTGAATGAGGCTCAACCTCCAGCATTAAATGACCCATTTAGAATTATTAGCTCTATTTTCCAGGCTCTATTTTCAATCTGGCAATATTGCTGCTAAACCTGGCTATCATTTTAGTTGCTTGCAGGTAAGTCTGGTGCTATAACGATCTGGTAGAAAAATGTTGGCTCCCCAGTGAAGCGTCCTAGGGGAACATCCCAGACCCTTCAAGAGACAGGTACAAAATGCTGCATAGCAATGGGTCATTTTTAAATAGGAGGAACAAGAGATGCTGTCTAGAACTGGCTTGTCACGGGTCTGAAGTTGGCTTTCATGCTACAGTTCTCCCAGTGGCTGAATGTAGATTGAAAATCACCTGAAACCGAGTGGACACTTAGTTTTCACTCCATTGTTTTTTTCTTCAACTATCTCTACTTGTTTCCCTAGAGACTTCACTGATAGGACACTAAGAAAGTATGTCACAAACATGAAGGAATTCAAGCCATAACAAAGCTGTTCTTTCATAAAAGAGAATAAAAGTTAATAAAATTAAGTATCTACTAATCCCTCACAGGGTGCCCGGAAACTGCATGGAAAAACCGTAGTCAGTTGCGCCCTTCTGCAAGACCAGCAGGCTTTGAGTCACAGCGCTGCCTGCGGTGCTGGAAATGAAGTCTCAGGGCTATTCACAAGCTTCAAAACAAATAACCTCGCGGCTGGTGCGGGACATGGTGCCTCCGAGGTACGGCTGTCCCGGGGGGCTCGTTAAGTGGGAGCTGCCTGGGTTGCGTTTCAGGCTGACACGGTGTTTGGATGCAGAAAACAGGCTTTCCAGTCACCCCTGCAGCGCGGCGCAGCCTGTGCTGCGCTCCGGACGGAAGGGAACGTCAAGGTGCTTCAGGTATTTCTTGTTTTATCGAAGCTATGGCTCTGTGGGCAAAGGCTCCCTGTACCGAAGTCCACTGAAGGCTCTCTCCAGCTGACTGCTTTGAATGTTATTAGGGCAAAATGTGTCTTGTGCTTTCATTTTCTTTTCTTGTTTGTTTTCCTGTCTTCCATTTCTATCTTCTGTTTTTCTTCTGATCCAGTTTGCCAGCAGTACTTCCCTTAACATCTACCAGCCTTAAATCTCCCTCCAACACAGCCCAGCACCACGTCT